CTGCTGGCTTTGCTTTGTTTCTTCCTCACCATTTTTCCTTGGCCCCTGTGGTGGCTTACTCGAAGGCACAGCTGGGCTGGAAGCAGGGCAGCAGGACGGCCAGCACCTTTGTGCACACACCCAGAGGTACAGCTGGAAGGCCAGGGCACCTGAGGCAGTGCCTCAGACCGAAATCCAAATGGCCATATTCTAGAGGTGGTCAGGAATGAAGTGTTTGATGTGTGGAAGGAGAAGAGGTTCGGTTTCACGTGCAGGACCACCACCAAAGCTCCTCAGACGGCTCTTTCCAGCTCTTACGGGAAAGCAAGGGGCAGTAACTTCTGGCTGAATGCTAAAAAGGATATCAAGTAATGGCACGATAAAAGTAGCATCTCCGCAACTGCAAAAGGTTGTTCTAAAGGTCAGATCTGCATGTACTCTCCTCGCTCTGCGAATAGCTATTGCTTTCATCCACGAGTTGAGCTTTTGACTGGGACAGGCCGAAATAACCAGGGCTAAAGCTGTCCCGTCCAAAAGGCAGCGACTTATCTCTGGGCATGGCGTGCTTCCAAGAGCAGGCTCTGCCTCTGCAGATATGACATCCAGCGTGGCAGAGAGCAACCCAAGAGGGCAGATGGCTCACGTGGACCATCCTCACCACCAAGCCTTCATCATCCCCGGGCTTCAAAACGCTGCAGTGCCCCTCTGCGGAGAGACAGCGGCGCCGTAGCGCTCCCTGCAGCACGGCCTGAGTGCACGGGCTTCGTGGCCAACACCTCTTGTAAAGAGGTGTGAAGAGTTTTTCATTCAGAATACACTGCCCAAGGCTTTTTATCTGGAGTTATGCTTCCTTTGCCATCCCTTAAGGTGAGCTGTCAGGAAGGAGACCCCAACAGCCCTGCTGGTGCTTTTTCTCTCTCTCATACCCGGTTAAAACAGAAGGGCCCTCGTGGCACAGCCGGACAGACCGACAGAGCCACCCCGCACAGAAGGGGCAAGCGGGACCCTGCTCTTTTTGCCACCTGGGTTCCTGGGTGTCACACAAATCTGTTGTTTGCATTCTTTTATTGATGTCCTTCCGTTCCCATGGCAGCCAGGCGCTTTAATGGGCGAGCAAGAAACAAAATTAAAAATAGAGCAGTTTATTAAATGTCAAAGCAAATTGGTGTGTCTCGCAGAAGTGCCCTCGGGGGACTGAGATGGGAGCACGGAGGAACTCTCAGGGCGTCCATTCCAAAGCAGACCTCCTTGGGCAGAGAGACAGCGGGGCCAGAAGGGCTGGGGGCAGCGCCTCGGTGTCTGCACATGGCCAACGTGTCAGGCCAGGGAGGCTGCAGCCACACAGAGCCCAGGAGCCTCACCAGAGCCATTCCCACACCGAGGTGTACGTGGAGGAAGGCAGGCTGTGTCTGGAGGCTGCACCAAACCTCTGTCGTCTACACGGTGAGCTCCTGCTGCTGCCACCGGCTCCATTTGCCCCATTTTGCTCAAACTCCTGCTCAGGCCCCATCCTTTGGTACAGCACCAGATCTCAAGAAGCAACTTACTCCTGGCCTACTCAGCTGTCCTATTTATAACCAAAAAAGTGTGTAATTCACAGTGCTTTCTAATTAGACACTGGAACTACAGTCCTCCTTCGCTCCACTCTAATTTGCTGCATCCCAGGCCTTTCAAGTTGTGTGTTACCTATGTCACGTAGGGAGAGCTCTTTGAGGGTTTGAAGCCAGCAATTATGTGCAGCCCTCATTTGTCCTTAGAGCTGCTGTGGGTTCACATGGAATCATCCCAACAGCTAGGATTAAAAGACACTGTTCAAGCTCTGGCCAACGTCAGGGGTCACTTGGTCCAAAGCATGGCAACTTGGAGCCAGATTGCCAGGCTAGAAAAGTTTTTTGCAATCCCAGTCCCTCCTGACCTTTGCGAAAGGCCTGAATTTTCAGGAGTCCATATTTGGTAGATCTCCATAGCAATCTGCATCTCAGTTTGTGGCTGGCATTCAGATCTCTAAAAATGGAAATGGGTCCTCACCACTTCGACTTGGAGATTATTCATTACAGAGGGCAAGATCCGGAGAGTAGCTGGACGGTGGCGAAGCAAACGGCCACTGGAGGAGCACGGGGCAGGACGAGATATCCCCCAGCACCACACCGACACAGGCACTCGCAGAGGAGGAGCGGGCCGATGCTGTGTGTTCCTGGGACTGACCACGTGCGTACAGCTGCTCGCCTCGTGTGTGCGGATCAGGTACCCAGACTGACTCGTTAAAAGCCAACTTAATAGGTGTGAACTCTAAGAAGTTGTTAAACACGCTGGCAGTATCCACTGCAGAAGGGTCTCCCATGTGCGTTTAACTGCGGCGCTGTTATACTTCTTGACTGTGTTTATTACAATCAAAACCAAAAACATTACCCTGGTATTCGTAGGGGAAAAACAGAGTAGGACTACAGAGTCCCTCTGATGCTTTCAGGGAGCTCTTCTCAGCTAACTGTGCAGCTTAAGAGCTCCAATCTGGGGAGGAAAGTTTCTGAAAGTGCTCCGTGTCTGCCGTTGCCTCCACCTCTCCCTTAACGACTGAATGAAGCCTTTCAGGTCCTGCAGATGTGCGTTAACACGGCAGGATTTGTCTTGCCAAGCCCCTCCATAAAGAGAGCAGCAGCCCCAAGTTAGGGCCTTCCTTCGTGGAGCTGTCTGGAGAGAAGCAAAGAGCGAGGAGCTGCCAGGGGATCGTCTTCCCTCCCTCTTCCAGCAGCCCTCCCCGCTGCGGCCGCTCGGCACAAGCATCCCCGCGGAGGTCAGATCCTCAGCCTGTGGAAATCCAGCCGGCTCCGCCGAAGTCAACCTGGCCCCAAGGCTTGTTTTGCTACTTTAGCAGAGAACAAATAGAGCAACATTTCATAACGGCCTAATGAGGCACATTGAAGAATGCCCAGGAGACAGAGACAATATCAGTGTTCCTTGGCACAGGGAGGAAATCAAAGGCATTTGTTTGTTATCTGAAATGTCGATCTCTGTTCCTTTCAGTGGTGGGCAGACATTTTTATAGTGTGCGTTCCTGGAAATACTCAGATGTCACTGCTAGCGTGTTCCAAGAGCTCTATTTATTTCCAGATACACCTATAAAAACGGAGACTGAAGCAAGGAAATATTCAAAGCCATTACGGGTTATTAGGTTTGAAGTGGCGCTTTGCACTCCGCATGGCCCCAAAAGGCCCAACACTTCCAGCCCCATTCCTTCCTACTGAATGGAAAGCAGCTCCTGGACTTGAGAAAGCCCGGTAGGAGAGGAGCCGCTGCCCACTAGGCTGTAAATCAGCTGGGATGAAAGCCAGCAGCACCCCAGTATGGAAATGGGATTGCAAAGACTCCGACCACGTGGCTTACTGGGTGACACTGGTAGTAGGGGGGTGGTTGGACCTGGTGATCTTGAAGGTCTTTTCTAACCAGGATGATTCTAGGATTCCACATCTGGCCAGGCATTAAGGGAACCCATCGGTGCTGTAAGAGTAAGCGTGGGCAGCAGCTGATCTCAGCCTCTGCTTGATGTGTGCATCCAGGTGGGCTGGTCAGAGGGAAGGGCTGAGCCATTTCCCAGAACACCTGCAAAAGCCCTCTTTAAACCCCCGAACAGCAAAGGCTGCTGTATAGTTCAGTTGCCGGGTGACTGGAAGGGGTTATCCCATCCAAGGAAGCCCATCTCCTGCAAAAAGGGTTTCCCAGGCAAGCAATGCTGTTCTGCTAAAGCTGCCTTTGACAGAGATTTCTCCATTCCAAGCTGGGTATGGGAGGCAAGTACGTTAATACACTGCCTGCCAAGCAATGCAATGCCATTCCTTTCACTCTGCTCACTCTGGAAGCCCAGTTAAGCATAAGGAAGCAATGAATTTTGCTTATTTAGTGACATTTTTTCCTGAATGTCACTTAAAAAAAAATAAAAATAGAGCAGATGTAATAGTTCCCCACCTCTCACCCCCTACACCCAAAGCCAGAAGTGTTTTGACTATGTCAGGTGTGCTCAGTGTGGTTTCTGCAGCTAAAAACCTATCATCTGGCTGTAATCAGCCATCCATCCATCAGGGCTGTATCAGCCAGCCTGTGAGTGAACACCGTTCTGCTGTTTTTGAGGACACACAGCCTGTTCCACAAGATCATCTCATGCCCACTGTTTCAGAATGCCTCTGCAAGAGATTGAGAAAAAAAAAAAAAAAAAAGAAGAGCGGTTAAAAAAAGCAATTCAGACATTAACAATGTCATGGCAACAGCAAATTAGTGCCTCAAAAGCAGATCTCAGATCACTAAAGGTTTAGGGAGTCACTGCACTGCAGGACTGAATGAAATATTCAGCACACAAAAGAAGTCCCCGCATGGTTTTGTATTTGTGATAATGACGCCAAGCAAACTGCTATTTAAATACATTTTTTGCCTAAGCATGGATTTTTCTTTCCTGCAAAAGATTTTAAAATAGCCTGCTTCCCAGGTAAACGCGGGCCTGTGTTGATTCTTGGAGAACTTTGACATTTGCAAACGTGATCGTAAGCATCAGTTTTAGCTCATGGGAAAAGCAGTTGATGTAGCAAAAAATGATGGAAAAAATAAGTGTTTTGTGAAAGTTACCCCCAAGAGAGATTTTGTATGTTGAGTAAGATGATCTAACGTGAGGCAGCAGCCTGATAATGAAGAGTGAGGCAGACAAACTTAAGTTCTGTGTTTTCACCTAAGCCTTGCACGTGCATAAGCAGACAATAAACTTCCCTTGCTAATTCTTTTCCCCTCCTGCCCTGTAGGATCTCTTTTCTCAGTCAGCTTCTTCCCAGAGAGGTCAACCACATCAGGCTGCCCACGTACCCAGTGGCCATCCCCATCCCCAAGCTTTGCTTGCCTGAGCTCTGCTTCCAGCTTCATGCCAGTGCTTTTTCTCTTGCTTATATTAGGTGTCTGTGCCTGATACCTGTAACATCTCATGGGGTGGGTTCAGAGGAAAAACACTGCATCGCAAAAAATATTCTCTAGTTTTAACTTGGTCGTATGCCAGGCTGGCAGAGAGAGAACAACTGCAGCAGAGTGTTACTGACGCTCAGGGGACTGAGAAGTCAGACAGTACTCAGCTCTGACTTGTCTTGTGCCTGGATCCATCTCTCTGTCTCATGCTCCCCACCTCATAACCTTTTCCCTTCCCCTTTTGCCTTTACTGTTCTAGTTTGGGAACTTGAAACGTGTTTTTCAGACCAGAAATGTGGGATTTTCTGTCCGCGTGTGAGGTCTACATGGGACATTCCACGCTGGTGGTGGTCCACAGGGTCACTGCTAACATCTTCAAGCTCCTCTGCTTGATGTTGGATGCCCACGTCTCTGAGCATCCAAACAGACAACTGGCAGGCCCAGGGTATCAAGAGCTTCGTTAGTTCACTAGGAAATCTGTCTGTACTCCAAACCTTGCCAGCTCAGCACCTCCATTTCATTATATGAGTAGAAATGAGGCCTGTCAGGGAGAATCCTAAGATTCTCCCACTTTTGAAGATGTCGGGCATCTTTTAGCCAAGACCCAGCTTCCCGTTACTCCTCTGAACTCTTTCAAGTCATTTATTTTAATGCTGGAACCTTCTGTTTCTGAACTTGACCTTAATGTGAAATTTTGTGCAGTGCTTACACGCAGCCTGAGTCACGGGTCAGGGCGGTTTGGAGCTGTGAACTTTCCCAGTGTTTCAGAACACATCCTGCCTTCCCGTGACTCAGTGCCGAGTCTTCGAGCCTCACTTGGCTGATACACAGGCATCAGGAGAGCAACCTCGCAAACTTTAAAAGTTATGAGCTTTGGGAACTCTTGGTGCATGGATTTCAAATCCACCAGGCTGTGTAACGCCGTGCAGGCTGGGGCTTGGAATCAGCCAGTACCAGCTCTGCCCCTGAACAAACCTGGAAGCTTTTGATGCTTCATGCAATTAGGCTGAATTTTGTGGCTTTCACCCCAAAACAACACCTTAAGGTAGGGCACAGTAGGGTTGGAAATCTCCTATTTCTTGCACACTCCCCATAGCACTTACAGGCACTCTCGGGCTCTGTAGCAGGGGTTGTCTGACTGAGGGTTTTTTTGGCTAGATCTGGCCGGTAGGTTGCTGAACAGCTTTAGAGCACAGCAGGGACACCTTGCAGGGTGGTACGACAGGTTCACATGTCCAGAAGGTGAGCGGGGAAATTGCACATACACAAAGCAAGACAGGAATAGTGTAACTAAGAGCAAAACCCAGCTGCAAAGAGAAGTAAAGGTGTTCAGAAGTCAAATTTGATGGAGCCTCCAAGGCTCCAGCCTCCAGTTTACAGTACCCTTTGTCGTTTTCCTCTTCTTTAAGAACCTTAGTAAAAAACCTAAGGCTTAGATTTCACACCTCCTGGATTCCCTCTCCTGCCTGTCTGAGTTACACTTAACTGCTCTCAGTTACGGGAACCCTAAAATCAGAAGGACCTCCTACATTGCTGCGACTCCCAAGCAGTTGAGCCAGAGCCAGGGAGAGCCTTTATTGTGAAGGTGGTGGAAATCCTTTTCCTCTCAAAGTGTCAGAGACTTAAAATTAGTTCTGTAGTCTCAAAGCTGTGGCCTGGGTCTGCTTTGAGAGACGGTGCAAAGCCCGGCGTGGCTGATGGCTTCAGCTATGGGATGGATCCCAGCCCATGAGCCCTGCTGGGAACCGAGGGCACGGCTCAGGAAACTTTGATGTGCCTGTGGCCATCAACAAGTAGAAAATTACGCAGTCACTCGTGTGGATAAACCATCCGCTGCTTCCCAGAAAAGTTTTCCCCTTGAGGGGAGGTCTGTCTGCTGTTCAATTTGCTGTCTTCTGACGTGTTGGAGGGAGTTGCTGGAGCTGTTTTTGAGGCAGAGCAGGTGTTTGTAGCCTCCAGGCAAACAGCTGGCTGGAGAAAAGTCGTCAGGTTGCAGGGAGAATCAGCTGGGGGCAGACAGCTTGTGTAACACTTGGGCAATGGGCATTTTTTCCTCTCCAGACCTAGGCAGATGACTATTTTGGAGGGTCTGTTGAATGCAGATAGAGCCTCAGAGGGTCAAAAGAGAAAGATGAGAGTGAAAGGAAGGAGAGAAGACATCAGCTGCAACCCTCCATCTCTTGCTTGCATATCAACAGCCCCATCATAAAGAAAATACCTGCTGTTGGGAGCCCTGGTGAGTTCTGCTAACCTCCTGGTAGAAGCTCCTTAAAGCAGAGCACGGATTTTCTTACAGATGCCCTAATTGCTGCATTTTAACATGACTTATTGTCTTGAGCACATCAAGCCCTCGAGTTAAGGGAGGCACAGAGCTGCCTCCCAAAGCGTCCCCCCCAGCTCAGCACTCCCACATCCCACCCTCCCCAGTCCCCAGTGCAAAAGCCCTTTGGGTGCACTGGTGCCTCCGTTTATGTGGCTCTGCTCACCATCATTAGCAGAAGATCATTAGCAGGTGAGTAGTACTGGCTGCGTAATCACCTGAAGAAGAGCTCCCTGCTAAGGCTGGGCCCCAAATATCTGTCAGCAGCTTTCAGCAGAGACCGGCTGCAGCTGTTCCTGCTCGGGAGCCCGACGATGCTCAGAGAGATAATTCCTAAATCCCACCCTCGCTGTCCAGCTTGCTTCTGCTGCCCTGTCAGCAGGCATCTGTGTGGTTAACCCTTGTTCTCCTGCTTTTTCCATTGCAAAACCACGCTATTCCTTCCAATAAGCCTTAAGGGTGCACCCAGTAGCACTCCCTGGGATGTGCACTGCCCAGTAAATTGGAGTTTCTCGCTGTCAGGCCCCACAGCAGTCAGAGGAACGGCAACAACTTGGGCTATCGCAGCCCATTCCCCTGACGTTTTCTTGGAAAAGAAAATCTCTGTGGGAACCGCGTGGGGGAAGAGCTGGCTCAGGGCGCAGCTACATCCCTGGTGCTGCCCGGGGTGTGATGTTTCACATCTCGCTGCGGGAAGTTAGGTGCCACCGGGAGCCCCCTTCCCCTCCACTGCTTCTTCGTCATCGCCTCCGAACCTCCCACGTGTCGGTCGCTTTCTCAGCTCTTTTGGAGCTTCCTCTTGGGCTGGGTTTCCGGCAGTGCTCCTGAGCAGAAGGGGCCGCCACCCTCGCTGTGCCCCCACGCAGCGCTCAGATCAACACGACCACCCCTTTCCTCTCCGCACAGCCTGGCACCGACAGGGAGCTGGGGGCTCTCCGGCCCTGTGCCCCGGCTCTCCTCCTTCGAGGAGGACTGGGAGCCCACCAGAGTCCTTTCATTTCGCCCGTCCCACGCCTGAAATGCAGTAGAAGCATCTTGTGTCCTTTCTCGCGTTGGCTGAGCCTCTTAGGAACTGCAGACATTTGTCTAGCTTGGACCCGTTGAGAAAGATCTGATGGTGATGCTTTGACCTTTCTGAAGCTGCAGTATGGGGGGAGAGTAATTTTCTGGAGTTTTGTTCAAAAAGGAGTCACCCGTGCTGCCTTCAGGAAAACTGCTGTGCCAACACAATGGTTTCAGAGGACTTGGTCCACCCGCACTCCCAGCAGCTGCAGAGCAGGAGCGACTCCAGTGATGCGAAACCTCACCAAATAATGAGGAAGTTACAGGAACATCTGGACAACTGGCTTAAAAATTTAGAAGCATCAGACCTGCCTGGCCTTGAGTTTGTGCGTGCATGTGAGAGGGTGAAAGACTGACTCCTGTCCTCTCCACAATGGGGGCTGCCTTCAGGCTGGTGCCCAGGCACTGCTCTGGTCCCCGAGGGAGGGAGGCAGGAGCTGGTTCCTTCCCAGTGACACGCTAGGAGGCATCGCCACCACAAAAGGATGAAGCCAGGGGTTGCTTCTTGTCCCCACAGCAACACCACACAGGTGCTGCACTTGGACTTCCACCATCGGGGCGAGAGTACCCGAGATCCTTGTGGCTGCTTCCACACGTGTTGGCGGGCAGAAGCCGCCTCGTGGATCAATTAGCACGTAACTTCTGCTCTTCTGAACACAAGGAGCTAATAACAAACAGCTTCCTACAGGAAACAAAGGCATTTATGGACCTGAAGATGAATGTGCCCACACATATAACCAACCCTTCCACCTCGCCATGGCTCTTGTGCTCAGGGTGGGAATGACCACCAAGCCCGGCAGTGGCAAGCAGCCCTTGCAGCTGGAGGTTTCAAGGATAAACTTTCCCTCCTGTTGCCGTCTGACATGAACATGCTCTGAATGATGGGCAGGAAACTGATATTTTGGAAGGTTTAATCATCAAAGCAAATCAGAGCCTTTTTTTTTCTCCCCCTGCGCATTCAAATGAGTGAATTTAAGACCTACTCCCCTTCCCCGAGATGGAAGGAGCTGAATGCCAGCACGCACGCTCTGGACAATTTTCTTCCTTTCCCTGGAAGTAATTTTCTTTCTAAAAATGCAGCTTTCTCAAAATCCCCCAATTTTCAGGGAAATTGAGTCTGCGGGAATTTCTGACAGTGACAAGCTGAGCAGAGCGCTCCGCGTGTCTTCCTTCCTGCTGCACGGCACGGAGCACTGCTAGCTGATAAGTGGAGGTGAGAGGAAAATTAAAGTGCAAGGAAGAAATTAAAGGCGAATATTTTGTCATTACTGTAATGAAAACATTTGATACTGCTCAAGTGACAGAATTTGATCCTGCCTAAATGAGACAGGGAGAGAACCACCTGCCAAAATCTGGTGACACATTTGTTTTGCGAAAACCAATGCAAATTCTACTTGTCACGGCACAGAGGAGAAACTCAAGCCTCCCGTTGGCTCTGATGGACACAGGATTGGCAAAGCTGAATAGACATCTAGTGTCAAAAAAAAAAAAAGGTGAAAGAAAGCTGAATTAGCATGAGCATCTCTCCCACAGGAAGGTGGGTACCTTCATCTGGCACCCGAGGATCTCAGAGGGCTGCACGCCTGCTTCCTACCAAGCTGTCTCCCAGTCCTGTGGGTGGGCAGGGCACGCTCAGCCCTCACCTCGCCTAGCCTTTTTCATTATCATTATATACTTTTTTTATTTTTATTGAATGGCTCGGGTTGGGAGGGACCTTAAAGACAACCCAGTTCCAACCCCCTGCCATAGCAGGGATGCCACCCTCCAGGTCAGGTTGGTCCAAGGCCCCATCCAGCCTGGCCTTGGACACCTCCAGGGATGGGGCATCCACAACCTCTCTGGGCAACCTGCCCCAGTGCCTCTTGGCCTTGCCATGGTGGAGGAGAGGTGTTACAGGGAAGTGGGAGGAGCAGATGAGCAGATTCCTGGTCTCTCCTTCTCCTCTGCTGCATGCCAGTGGAAACAGGAGCGATTTCACCAGGGCCACTGGAGAGGCAGACTCAGAGAGAGAAAGCAGGACCCTCACCTCCAAATACTCCTCAGGGTTGGAGATGCTCAGCTTCGACTGGAGAGATGGAGAACAAGAGGGGAAGGCAGAAAACATCAGTGCAAAGACAAGAAACATGCTGAGGAGAAAAAGGAAAAATTAAGCAAGGACTAAAAGCAGGCATTTAATGTACTTCTGGAAAGGCTTCTGAGCTTGAAAGCATCTGAAGGACAGGAAAAACTGAGTGTCATAGTCCCAGGAGAGAGGGGCACAGCTCTTGAAGTATGTGAACTTCAGAGAGACACGGTCATGTGTTATGGCCGTGAGGCCTCGATTTTATTATATTTTTAATTAAAAGGATGCTTAGAATTTTTCCCACTAGCTGCTTCATGTTTTGATCTAGTCAGAAGGCAACTTCTGAAAAGGACACAGACCTGGAGAGCAACCCAACGGGGAAACGCTAACGAGTCCCTGCAACAGAGCTCTCTGCCAGAGACACGGGGAAAAGGCAGCACTTTGGGACTCGGGCACGACGGAGGCACACGCGAAGGAGCACAGGATGCCTCTGCAGAAGGCGAGTTCCTCCCTCCTGCCTGCTTGGGTGCTTGGAAGACGCCCTGAGCGCGTTGTGCAGGAGGGAGAAGGCTGACACGTCTCTGCGGCGTAAAGCGCAGCCCGGTCTGTTGGGCCCGCTGGGACCGGTGTGCCTGTGCTGGGCCGTCAGGAGCTTTCCACTTCAGCTCTGTGAACACGATTCCTGTGCAGAACTGTCTGAGCATCTTTACTCTCTGAAGATCTCTGTGATTTCAACCGCTTCCTTTGACGATATAAATAATACGGTCTATTCTTAGCTCTACAGCAGTATACTCGCATCTTTATCTAAATTCTGCAGAATTTTCCATTTCAGATGTTTGGGCTTCCAGAGGCAGACTGCTGCTTATCCCATGCATGACATTATTCCTTTGATACATGATCTGAAAATTCAATTACCAGACCAATTACTGACTTTTTCTGAAATTTACAAGGAAAACATTAAAGTTTGATTAAGTCAGAATTCCCACTGGGCTGATCAGCAGTGAGACCAAAATTAAATTGTGTTTTTAAGAGCTTTGCCACCTTGCGACGCACGCGAATTATCGGAATCTGAGAGCCTGCTGCCAAAAGTCAAAACAGAGAGTGCTGAGCAGGGGGAGACATATTTCACTCCTCGTAAAAGTGAGTACGTGCTGCTCTAGTTCCAGGGCTTGGGAAGGCCAGGTGGAGTCAAAGGTGCCTGTGCAAGAGCTGCAGAGCGCGCAGGGACCAAGCACCCCATTAATTACACGTGCAGCTGGACTGAGGTGGAAATAAGATGGGCCCTAACCCCTAAGTGTCCAAGGGGCTGAGCAGCATCAGAGGCAGACAGGCAACAAGAAGACAACGCCTTACCTGCAGCTTGGTGAAGAGCCACGCCATGTGGCATTGCCATCCCCGGGCTGCTCCAGGAGCAGGCAGAGCACCAAATGTTTCTTGCATCAGACAAACCGTGTAGAACTGAGTCTGGCTGTCCTCTGAGCTTGCAAACAAGGCAGCTTCTTCGTCACTACACATCTCGTAGAGATCACGTACCTCTGTGTCATCTGCAGTGCTTTGCTTCCTCGGCTGAGGTCCCTGCATTAAGCTAGAGTGGATGAGGGCAGAGGCGAGCCACAGGTGGCTAGGTCAGCCTTAGACACATTGCTCCGGAGCCAGGACAATGATGTCCCTTGTGGGAGGCTCCGAAATGCAGGGGGGGGTTACTGGAGGATGTACAGAGTGGGCAGGTTTAGCCCTTACGGCTCGCTGCTGTGTGAGCCCAACTCGTTAGGGGCAGATAAACATCTGCCTAATTATGCCCTCCCAGAGACGGGGCTGGCATCTTAAAATACAGCACTTGCGCAGGCAGCTCGTTTGCTTCTGCAATTTGCAGGTGTAAAAAAAGCAAATTCATTTTCAGCATTTGCTTGGGGAACGGATGAATCAGTAAAGGACAGAGATGCAGATACACACGGCTGCATCACCAATTAAGT